ATGTCCTGGGAACCAGAACTCAAGCACTTGTCCCTTACCATTAGGAATGATCGTATAACCTCCAATAACTAGTTTTCTGTTGGATTTATACTATGAGGTATCTAGTGTGTAAGCATACGCAACATACTTTTGACTTACACTAAATCTCAACCATCAGACTTTTTAGTGGTGAGAATCTGAGGCATTTACTAAGTACTTGTATGGATATAGTTACTATTCCTTTTGTTTCGTCCTGTTGACTTGGAAATAAACTGGAAAAACAACTGTCCTATTTTGTGGAAATCATTTCACTTGGGAATCTTCTTATGGGGAGAGGGAGGGGGAGAGAGAGAGAGAGAGGCTTAAGCAGGGCATACAACAGTGCATTGAAAGTACTAACAGTTCCTGAAAAGTGGCAAAGAAGATTGAAGAGTACCCCCTTGGATGTGATTCTTCTTGTTTGATTTGGTCATAAATACAGCAAATCTTCTGAATCTGTTGAAGTTATAATAATTTCCTTGTGTTGCTGGTGAGCTCTGCCTATAAGATACATTATGTTGTAGCTTTAGGTCTTTCTCACTTCATCTACTTCTCGTCCCCCACCTTTAAAAAAAGGAAGGAAAAGGTCACAGTACTCCCCTCAGATTGTGGAACCACGTAAAGTAGACGAAATGAAGGTAGCAATCCAGTGCCTAGACATTGTTGTAGTCATGAAAGTTAATACACAACTAAAATCGCCAAGACCAACAGAATTGCGCTTCCCTATTTTCAGTTTCCACCTTCATTATGACATTGATTACCTTGAGCTTTTTTTATTTTTTTGGTCTTCAAGGTCTCTAAAAAATTATATTTCCCCAATTTTTTATATATAATTATATTTGATAAAAATAGCTGGCAGAGTTCTTAAATATCATTGTGTTCTCAATTTTTGCTTGCAGATTTATGATAAGGCAAGAAATGCCGTGGCTCTCGCGCTTAGTCCAGTTGTACGGGCTCTGGTTGATCCTGATGGAGCGCTGAGGGAGATACGGGATTTAGACAGGGTAGGAACGTTATCCCTGTACATGACTACCAATATTTGGCAGCACTATATATGTCATTTTCTCAATAATTTTTATCTCACAGTAGTGACATTTTAACAGATAAGCTTCTCAGATTGGTTCTTATCCAAAGGAGGGACTCGCGCAAGTATACAGAGGATGTGGGATCCTGTTGCATATGCTCTTGGATTCATTGACTGTGATAATATCAGTGCTCGTTGTATGCTTACCATATTTGCATTGTTTGCCACCAAAACTGAGGCTTCCCTACTACGGATGCTGAAAGGTTCTCCTGATGTTTATCTGAGTGGCCCTATTAAAAAATATATCATGGACAAAGGAGGCAGGTAAATCAAACTGTATGCCTGATGTTTTGATGTTGTGCTGGTCAAAATGATTCTTCTGACACTGTATTTCACTGCTCAAATAGATTCCATCTTAGGTGGGGATGCAGAGAGGTACTCTATGAGAAATCTCCTGATGGAGACACATATGTCACTGGGCTTTTAATTTCCAAGGTAGAATATTTTCTTTGCAGTAATCAAAGTATAATTATGAAGATCGGACAGCCAAAATCTCTTCACTTGGTTTTATTTCAGAATCTGTTGTAGACTACCTGTAGAGCATCTGGTAAATTGTTGGTTCATGATCTGACAAATCCAGAGGATAGCCCTGCAAGGCCTGTTCTCCTTCACTAACCCACTATTTTCCTTGAGATATCGAATAGCTGTTTTGGTGGTAGATCTATTTCTTATACTTTAAATGGCATTTGTCTTTTTAGAATTTTCTTTTGCATGCTTAATTTGACATATGCTTCAAAGATCAAAATGGAAATATTTGTAATGCAATCCACATTCATCAATGGACTTCAAGGAACCATCAGTACCTGAGATCCTCTAACATTTTGGGATCTTTTTGTTTTTTAATCTGAATTAAGCCTTGACATATTAAGAAAAGTGGCATTATCGTGGTGGGATCTAACAGCCCATTTGCCTCTCTGTTCAGGCTACTGAAAGAAAAGTTGTAAAAGCTGATGTTTATGTTGCAGGTCGGTGGTTGATCTTAGCTGTATACTTTTAATCTTTATCTTCAGATGTAACTGATGTGCAGATTGAACATGTCATAAATGTTCTCTTTCCTTTGCAGCATGTGATGTCCCTGGGATTAAAAGATTAGTTCCTCAGAAGTGGAGGGAGTGGGAATTTTTTGACAATATCTATAAACTGGTTGGAGTTCCTGTTGTTACTGTGCAACTGAGATACAATGGTTGGGTTACTGAGTTACAGGATTTGGAACGTTCAAGGTAGAACTTTTATGTTAAACTTCTGGTGGATTCTATGCGGATTAGCGCTGCAAGTTGCTAACTGACTTCTGCTTTCATGTTAGTATAGCATGATCAAAATGAGTTGTTTCTTGATTAAGATTAGAATAATTTCCTTCTTCAACATTCTTAGGCAATTAAGACGAGCTGCAGGTCTAGATAATCTCCTCTACACACCGGATGCAGATTTCTCTTGCTTTGCGGACCTTGCACTTGCATCTCCAGAAGATTATTACCTAGAAGGCCAGGGTTCGTTGCTCCAGTAAGGACTTTACCCTTATGATACAGTTTGCATTCTAGCTTAAATTTTCTATTCCTCTTTGCTCCACTAATCTTTTCTACTCGTGTTATATTTGCTTTGGTGACTGATAGGTGTGTACTAACTCCTGGGGACCCTTACATGCCCCTACCTAATGATGAAATCATAAACAGAGTTGCAAAGCAGGTTTGTAGTCCTTTTCCAGATGGTGACTGCCATTGGAGTGACAAATTTTCATCAGTTATTAGATTAGGTTCTCAATAGCTATGAGTTGATTGTTTCGTCCTTTTCTTATTCTCTTCTAATTGGCACATTTTTCTTATTCACTCATCATGGAGGTCAACACTTTCTACCAGTTAGAAGATTGTTATGTACTAAACTGATCATGGAACTTTGGGTATCAGGTTTTGGCTTTATTCCCCTCTTCCCAAGGTCTGGAGGTTACTTGGTCATCTGTTGTGAAAATTGGGCAGTCGTTATACCATGAAGGACCTGGTAAAGATCCATTTAGACCAGATCAAAAGACACCAGTGAAAAATTTTTTCCTTGCTGGTTCATACACAAAACAGGTGAATGGTTGTCTTGTTTTAATAATCATAATTTTACTTGTTCCCACTCGCAGAAGTTCAGTTAGATCCCCATATTATCTTATTTGTTTTGTTGTTGGGGAAAGCATACATCTTATATCTACAGCTTCTAATTTCTTAGCATTCCTTTTTGAAAAATTGGTCTGAGGTACTTGTTGGCTTGCGGTTGGCATCTTTGTTCGGAGAAGAGTGCGTTAGTGAAGTTGCGTACCACTTAGTGATACTAAACTATTTAACAAGAAATGGAATTGTTGCAGAGATTGAAATGGGCTCATTTCTGAGAAAAAAATTTACAAATTTCTGATCAAACTGTCAATGCTGAAACACCATTAGGCAATACAGAAATTTGTCTAGGATTAAGAGCATCTGCTTGCTCTGCTCAACAAAAGTGCAGCAGTTATTCGAGGAAATCAATGGTGTCATAAAATGACTTCTCAGCTTGAACTGCTTCATCTGTTTCAGGATTATATAGATAGTATGGAGGGAGCAACACTGTCAGGTAGACAAGCTTCGGCTTACATATGCGATGCTGGAGAAGAGTTGGTGACCCTACGGAAGAAAATCGTGGCAGCTGAATCCAGCGAAACGACAGAAGCTGCTATTACATCTGACGAGTTGAGTCTCGTGTGATCGAAAAATTCTTTTCTTCATCAATGAGATGCGATACATTATTGACTTAGGGAGCGGATACAAAAACACTGCAGTTTGCCTGAAGAGCAGGAGGGAACTGCCAGCACCATTAAGTAGGAGGAAACTGAAGGTCAGAAGAGCCTGTATGTGCATTATGTATCTAATGTAATTCATTTAATCAAGAATGCAACTTGTCAATTATATCAATGCTCAATACAGCCCTATTCAGTTCTTGTCTTGAAATCTGTCTGCCAAGTGATTTTTTATGGCAATCTTCCATCCTAAATGGCAATCTTTCATTGATTTTTTATGCTTCTTCTATCTGTCCCTTGTTTAGTGGTCCCTTTTTTCAAAGTTCTCCCAAAAGCATCGTCCACTGTTAACATCCAAAATTCACCAAACTTCTTCAAGAAAAATGTTAGTACAGAAGTTTTATATTTGAATGTGTTTGTGTGCATAAAAAATTTGGTTTATCTTGAGAAAAATTAAAAGATATATGAGATACCTTACTCTATCAAATTATGTGGCTTCATAAAAGGCCTAAACTGTTATAGTTTTAAAAAAAAAATTAAAGGCCTAAATAAGTAAGAAATAGATGGAATAAAATGTTCCTTTTTCTTTTTGTAAGAAACGGAAAAAGATTTTTTTCCACTGAATTCATTTTACAATGAATGAGAACTCGGACAAATGCACCTCTCAAAGACTTAGATTGGCTTAGGTACAACGAAATTGATGTCTGGCAAATAAAAATGGAAATGGCACTGCCGAATGCTTTGCAATTGCATTGATCAGAAACGTTGAATATTGTGGTCAAAAATCAGAATCAAGTTAATTTCCAACTGTTTAATACCAACCTTGAGCTGTAATTCAAGATTTCAAGAAACAGTCAAAAGCAGTGTACATATCATATATGTACATGATTGGTAAATTGAGAACCAATTTGAGGTGCACCTGAGAAATTGGGAGGATCTCTTCATCTAGAATAGCAAAGACATCATCCAGCTAATAATTTTTTTTTAACCAATTCCAACCATAGAATAAGGAACTTTAGATTCTATTATTCTGAACATATTTGACCAGAACAGAACATACCCCCCCCCCCTTTCCCCCAACAAACAAATGCTTTAAATAGCCCCATCCACAAAACTAACACTCTCATGGGCCACAGGCCATCTAGCATTCAATAAAAGAAAAACAACTAGAGAGGAAAAACAAGAAGAATGGGGAGAGTGCAAGCTCTTTTGTTTGCTGTTCTAGTTCTTGTTCTTGTTTTGAACCATGAGGTGGAGGCGGATTCACCTTGCGCCCGGGAATGTCCCAATATCTGTCAGAAGTGGGAGGAACTGGAATTCGCCTGTTATATCTTGTGTGTTGATCACTGCATGAGTATGTTTCACAGCTCTCCTCTTTTCCTTCTTTTTTCACAATTTTGTTGTATTTTTGCTCTTATATCTTCTGGTATAGTTGCATACAAATCAATCAAGTCGTTTCCATTTTAGGAACTGATGAAAAAGATGTTCAAAAAGATTACAACTAAACCTATGATTGATTTTTGATAGATAATCTGAAGTAGTTCAATCTAACCATATGATATCATTCATGGTACTGATCGAACTACATGAGCTCGATTCAATTTGGACTGTTGATTTTAAATTTCAAATTTTGAGATCAACGGTCCAAATCAAGCCAAGCTCATGCAGCTCAATAGGAATCATAATTGATGAATTGGATGGTGCAGTTGGATTGATAACCCCACCAACGCTTAACACATAACCCTTTCCTTTTTTGTCTTTCACATGCCCTGATAAACAATGGTACCTTGTAATTGGAAATTGTTATGGCAAAAAACCTCAACAGCCATTGAACTATTCTCGTCGTCAATTTTTAACCATTCAAACTATTTTCCAACATGCCACTCAACAAACTAATTAGTAGACTGATGGCCATTTCATCAGATTTAGCTCTTAATTTACAAGGTAAACCAAACACGCGCAACTCAAATGTTAAAAGTTATAGGTATGTTAAAATTTATAGGTAAATATGTCCACCCACAATTTGGTAAATGTGTCCTTGTGTTGAGAAGACCCTTCTTGTGGACGGACATATTTGCCTATAAGTTTTGGCATGTAAGTTGCGTGTTGGGCTTATCATCTAAATTAACTTAAAACTGCCGAAATGGGTCCTAATATAGTGACTAATTAGGTGAGTGACTTATTTGAGACGGAAAATAGTTTGATAGTTGATTATAGTAATAGTTTAATAGCCGTTGAGGTTAAGATCAAACCATGGCGTAATTCCCTTATTGCTGCTCATAGCCAAATGAAGTTTGTGCCAAGTTTAGTTATGCCTGAGAATGGTTCACTACATTATCTGGCACAATATATCTTTAAGGCTTTTCAAATCATGCCAGCATTCTCCTATATAATTACAAGATTCAGTTTCTGGCAAAAAGGATAGCGGCCAAAATCCACAGGCAACCAGGATTGTGTTTCAATCAAGAATCAAGCGGTACAGTTACATTATCACACAACTACAATGTTCAGATTCATCATAGTCGGATGGACACATGCAAAATTATAGACAATCAAACAATTTCAGCTTTCGTATAACCTAGTTATGATATTGAGATATTGAGATTTTTTCACTCAAAAGCCATTCAGTGCTTGTATGCTTCAAACTGCTCTCACAAAAAAAAAAAAATAATCATCATCTGATAAGCATCACATCAATTGCTGCCAACTTAACTATTGTCAATAATGCTTTTAACCTATTTAGATGATCCACCTGAGGCAGAATCAACCAAACAGCTGCTACAAAAACGAACTCCGGAGATGGAAGCCAAGCTGCGGGACATCGAAAAGCAATTTACAAGTGCACCAGCAAAGATGCTTCTTGAGAGTCGTGGTAAACATTTACAGAAGGCAACAGAGGCATCCGCCAAATACCATCCATTGCACAGAAAAGAATCACAAGAAAACCAAAGGCAGCAGAGGCATCCCCATAAGTACCAAATAAGCACAGACAAGAACCACGAAGAAAATGACTTGAACTAATGAGACAGATACCGCCCAGAGCCATTCCTAGTTGACAGAAAACATCGAGCAGCTCAGGTAGCCAGAGAAGCTCGTGTCCCATAAAACATACTAATGGCAGTTATAAAGCAAGGAATATACATATTTCTCTCATATCCTTCAATTCCGCCATGTGTTTTTCTCATGAACACTTCTTCTCCCTAAGCATGCAATCTTCACTAAATAAAATTACTCACTATTTCTTTGAGCAATTAGCATCTTGGGTTTGCCCAAGTTTTATCATTCTATACACTTCTGAAAGGACTCCAAGTAATAAAGAGTGAAGACAAAACATACATATTTAAGCTCAAAAGATTCCTTATCTATAATTATCAAGGTAGATTTCATGAAAATAGTAGCTTCACGAATGATGCAGGACCTTAATTTCAGCTTCCAAACTAAGCACATCCAGTTTGTGATGGAGACAGAGAGAGAAGAGGCTAAATCACTATTAGCTTTATTTTAAGAGGCTTTGCAGGAAATTGCAACGCTTCTGTGCTTAAATGGAGTAGAGTTGATGGTTGAGGAGGTATTTAGTTAACGATAATGCGGTGAATACATGAATGAAGCATACGCTTTTGAAAGTAGATAAAGCAAAAAACTAAGAAACAGAAGAAGTTGAAGAAAAGGATCGAGAGAACTTGGGACTCACAGATAGGGAGTTCTTCTTTTTTTTTTTCTTTTTTTCTTTTTTTTTTTTCTTTTTTTGTGGGTGACTCAGAGAGGGAGTTGGTTTCTGGATAACATTCTCCATTTCATAAGCTACCCAATATGCTCTGATACATGAAAATTTGGTAGGGAAATTACTCTTGGGGACAACACTACTTGATCTCCAAAGTTTCAAATAAAAACTAGAGATGAAGATCTGACAAGATATGACTGATCTTATTTCATCTCTACTGCAAGGCTATGCTACACTAAGGCCAGAGCAAAAGTTATCGATGCAGCAGCCCGACATTAAGCATGCGGACAAATTTGCAAAATATCCTCAGCATACAATTTTTATATCAGCTTCATACAAAAACTTTCCAGAAGACAGCATTTGCATTCATAATCAAGTTCCACATTCTCTCGTATTATCTTCTAAATCTCCTTCATGTAATCTGCATCAATTGATCTTGAGAGGAGAAAAACAAAACCTCCTCAATTGAAAAATTCAATTTTGCTACTAAGTGCTGAATGCAACATCCAAATTTGAAACCTCAACAACAATTTGAGTGTGAAGGAATAAGTAGGAATATTCTTAAAAGAAAATACTAAGGATTCATTCCGAATTATAAATTGACAGTTCAAGAATATAATGATCCAAGTGACAAAAGAAATTGATGGTCCATAAAACTTATGTTAATTCCAGGTAAATTGTATCACAAAATTTAGAACTACATCAATAGATCTTGCCCAAAAAAAAATAAAAATACAAACTTTTCAATCGAAAAATAAATTTTGCTACTATTTAAGTGCTGAATGCAACATTTCTCAAACACTCGTGCTGTGAATCTGAACTGCAATAATTTCAAGTGAAAGCTAAGCAATTTAGTAGAACTCTTTCAGTTACCATATCCCAAACGATTTGATATGGCTGCGATGAAGATAATGCTTAATAAGTAGGCATAATATTCCAACTCACAGTCACTTCATGATCTTTTAGCCACAACTTAATGCAATTGACATGAAAGAAACAACAGTTTTAGCACTATAACCAAGACAGAAAGGAAACAAGAATTAAGCATATTGTGCCATTGAACCGTAGGTTGTATGCAAATCCAAATCTGAAATATCAACAACAATTTGAGTGTGAAGGAATAAAGTAGGAAAAGAATATTCTCAAGAGAAATTGCCGAGGATTCATCTAAATCATAAACTGAAAGTTCGAGAATATATTGATCCAAGTAACAAAAGAAACTGATGGTCCGTAAAACTTATGTTAATTCCAAGTAAATTGTATCACAAAATTTTGAACTTTTGAGCACTCTCTTGCCCCTGACTATAGTTCTACGCAGCATTGTTGATTTGTATGGCTATCCAATGGGATATATAAAGGCATAACTCGCAAAAAGAAATTTGACAATGTGCGCCCTACTCAAAAAAGTAAAATCAATTTGCATAATATATTATAAGTTTCTCAGCCAAAACTATGTTCTTACAACATGATGACCTTCCCATTCCTCTTCAATTTATACACTACAAGTAAACTTAGAGTAATAAAAATCTAAATCCTCATCTCATACATTTGAGTGGAGGTACACTCAACTTCCCAATATTTCTTCTTTCTAGCATACTAAAGCTAAAATACCATGATAATAATAGATAAAAAGCACTCTGTCATAATCCAACATGTGAATAGTAATTCGAATAGCTTCAGTATTCTCCTCTTCACCATTAACCAACAACTTGTTCATCATCAGAATCCCTTAAATTGCACTTTAATTGAAAAAAGACATGATATTTTCTCATGATTCATTTGTTACATCAAACTCAAACAAAGATATTCCTCATTTTCTGCTTGGGGATACAGCAAAAAGCAAATTTTACATCAAACCAAACATAAACCTAATCGAATATTTCAAACTAAAACCACCCATATAACAAGCAACTGAAGCAAGCAACTTTACTCATAGAGACGTACTAGAAAGTAGTACAATTTTTTTTTTTACCATCATTTTACATTTCCAGACAGATCCCACCAACTAATTTGCATCCTTTTCTGCAGCAGCATGGGCAGCAGCAAGATCCTCATCCAGGAAGATATCCCAATGCCCATCCCACTTGATGAAGAACTCGGTATCCTCAAAATACTTGACTCTATGCACATCACCAGCAGGGGTAAACAAGTAATCTCCCGCAACCAAATCATACTTCGTCCCTTTAGTCAAGTTCCACACCCTCTTGCTCCCCTTGGTCACCACCAGATCATGCCCAAATGTGTGATGATGCGCCGGCTCCATCGCCCCGGCCTTAAATCGAACTATAGCCGATGTTGGATTCTCCCTGATGATCTTCATCGACGCCCCGGGCATTATATCCACGGGAGTAAAATCCCCCTCCTTCCGATTCTTCAGCAATGAGCATAAGTCACACGGAACATCTACCTTCTCCTCCGATTTTCCTATTCCTGACATTTCTGAGACGGAATTCTCCAAAAATGTTTCGATTTCAGCCGGCCAGGGGTTCGACCCGAAGGCAGGGCAGGGAGATTTGAACGGAGTATCTAGAAAATTCTGGAGAATCTTTTTCGCGGCATCGGGCTCCGTCAACATGCCGGAGACGGCGAGGACATTGCAGTTATTGATTGATCGGGCGTTGTGGGCTTCTTCTGGGGTGACACACGTTGCGGCGTAGACGCCGGGGAATTTATTCGCGAAGATGCCTACGCCGACGCCGGTGCCACAAGCGACCAGGCCACGGGTTTCGACTGATGAGTCCGGGTTAGCCGAGGCTTGGCTGACGCGTCGGCCGATTTCTTCACCGACGGAGTAGTATTTGTTGGTGCCGAGGTCTTCGACTTCGATGCTGAGATCGCGGAGTTGGGAGACTAAGTTGTCTTTGAGTGTGCAGCCGAAGGAGTCGGCTCCGGCGATGATTTTGAGCTTTCTGGTGGCGGGTTCTTGTGCCATGGTGGCCGGCGGGAGAAGTTGATTGAGTGATGACCGGAGAGGAGACTGAACTGGAGACTGAGAGCGTTGAGGAGGATTGGGATTTGGATTAGTTGACTTTCGAACAGTCCTTAAGAAGTCTCGTTTTGGTCTCGTTTTAGTCCTTCACCTGTTTTTGTTTTAATTATCTTTTTATTATACAAACGTTACATCGTTATAAGAAAACTCTAATTCAAACCGAAAATTTGCATCCATGATTTTCAAAATCACATATCTAAATAAAGATACATAAGCGACCCAAGCACAGGATTTAAACCTCATTTTAACTTTCATGATTTACAGTTATCGAACTCAAGTTTAAGAAGTTTTTTTTTTTTTTTTTTTCTGACGGAGTGAGTGTTCGGGTTAATTCTTACGGGGCCCGACTAATTCCACTCCAGTCCGGGAGGAGATGCCCCATCCCCCGAGCACGATAACCACGGGATTCGAACCCTTGCGGACACTGGACACCAACTCCTAAGAAAGCTTGCTGAGACCAACCGAATTGCCGGGCCCGTAAGAATTGATCCAGTGGTTAGTTTAAGAAGTTAACTGAGGTCTAAGTCCCGTAAATCATCAAACTCAGGTTGGATAGTTATAAATCATGAAAGTTAAATGAGGTATAAATTTTGTGCTTGGGTCTAGTTTGTACTTTTTATTTTATATATATATATATATATATATATATATATATATATATATATATATAAATAGATCATATGCATTTCAATCAGCAATTAATTGGGCAATTACTTTGATACGTTGCAATTGAGAGGAGAATATGTCCAAAACTAAGTAGCGGTGCTAATTTGGCCAATTTAGCACAATAAGCAGTATTGTACCATTTTCAGAAGATCTGTTGATCCAATTAATCCAGCCATCCTTAACTGAATGTTCGGGATCCATGTTGTGGAGCTGAACCCAGTTCATGTATGACAAAGTGGCTTGTCTTTCATCTTAATGAATATGTGGGAAATTTTTCGAAAATAGCACATATTGGAACAAAAATTTGTATTAATTATGAGACTATGAACACTAAAGTGGATTGACGTTTTTATTTACAGTTTAACCCTTTTTTTGGCATGTTTAGACACAAATTTTTTAATGAAATTTTGTTTAAATATCCTTTGTGACCTCTTCATCAATTATAAATCCCAAATCACCTGTTTAGCAGATTTTTAAATATATTTTGAAATGATTGTGAAAGAGGTACATTCTTTGGTGTAATTTTAAGACATTAGCATGTATAAATCTCCCTAAATAATTCCCTTCCAAATAAAAGTAACCATGTTGCTAGGCTATCTAAAGGTTTTTCAAATAGAGATATCACATTTGATTGTTTTGGAAGGCATATAATCGGGGTATAAATTTAAGATCGTGAAATCGTAAAATCTTGTTTAAAATGCAACAAAAAAAAATTGTTTTATTATTTGTGAGCTTACAAACAATAGATATAGACAATGTAACATTAAACATAAGAAAATGCAAGTCACTCTTTGGGGGAAGGTTGGGTTTGGTGGTACGGGAGAAGGGAGTATAAGTGAGAGGTCTCGAATTTGAGTCCTCCTGTTTACATTAAA